GCCATAGCTTATTGCCAAAGAGGATCCAAAATAGCTTCTTTATAGGAAGATGGTTCAACTAGATTATGAATGGATGTTAGAAAATAGCAAAAGTACTCAGAATAACAAGAATAATCAAAATCAGGTAACGAGGAAGAGATGAAGCAGGAGTTGGATCAACAACCTCAGGCGGTGCTTGGGAAGCCATAGAAGGAGGAGGGATAGCATGATCTGAAGCATGTGTACCTGCAGGACATGAAGAATCAATAGTACATAGGATATGGGAAGGTGAATTGTTTATATCATCAGAGAATGGATCAATATAAATGAGGTCAGTTTTAGTCACGTTATGAGTATTATTAGAAACGGAGAAGAATGGAATGTGCTCAAGAAATAAGACATGACGAGAAACATATAATTTATTATTAATGGCATCGAAACAACGATAACCCTTTTGCCCTTACCCATAACCCAAGAAAACACAAATAGCAGAGCGAGATGTCAACTTATTACGTTCAACTTCAGGACTAAAAACAAAGCAAGTACAACCAAAAACTTTTCAATGAGGAGTAATCTAGAGGATGCCTATACAATGTTTCAAAGGGTGATAAACTTGAATTATGGGAATATGGAATCTTATTAATTAAAGAAACAGCAGTAAGAGCTGTTTCTCCCCAAAACTCACCAGAAACTTTGGCAGATAAAAAAAGTGAAAGAGCAGTTTCAACAATATACCTATGCTTTCGTTCAGCAACACCATTTTGTTGTAGGGTATTAGTACAAGAGGTTTGATGAATTGTGCCGTCAAGAGCAAGCAATTTAGAGAATTCGGATAAAGTATACTCTCCACCTAAGTCACATCTAAAGCACTGAATTACAGTTGAATGTTGAGTTTTAATAAGTGCTCTAAATGATCGATAAATAGAAAGAAAGTCAGATCATTGCTTCATAAGATAAACCCAACAATAACGACTATAATCATCAATAAAGGACACATAATATCAAGACCCCCCTTTTGTAGCAACAGGAGCAGGTCCCCACACATCAGAGTGAACAAGATCAAACGGTGCAACAGAATGAGAAATACTTCGAGGAAAAGATAAAGCAGAAAATTTTGCTAATTTGCAACCACTACAATAAGAAATATCATGAGTTTGTATGTTTTCCAATTGATCCTTAGAAATAAAAAAATTTAAACGACTAGTGAAAACATGTCCAAGGTGAGAATTCCACAAATAAAAACTAGAAGATGTTGAATTCAAAGAAAAAGATGACAAATCAACGCCAGAAGCTGTAACATGTGGTGGTCTCAGATTGTCCAGAACAAATAACCCTCCTTGTCTACGACCTATCTCAATCAGTTTCTGAGATTGAGGATCCTACACATGACAACCAGTAGAAGAAAACTGAACTAAATATCCAGAATCACATAATTGACCAATAGAGATAAGATTCAAAGTAAGACCTGGAACACAATAGACATCTGATAGTGATAAATTATGTGTATTAACTGAACCAACACCTACTAAAGGTAATGGTGTACCATCAGCAATCATATTAGACACAGACGGGTTGGAAGGACGCAAGTCATTAAAATTTTTTGAATTAAATGACGTGTTTGGAAGCACCCGAGTCAAAGATCCATGAGGAAAAAATACCTGAGTGACTGTGATGACAAACTTATATGAATGGATGCTGACATAACATGTGGTTGTGTGGTTAAGAAATTCTGAAACTGCTATGCTAAGTCCGTCAACATGGGATTGGATAAAGGTAGTGATCCAAGTATGGATGAATCGTTAGGTGGCATGGTGCCAAGCTATATTAGCATTGGGACGATAAGATCCCTGCTGTGATTGAGGTTGTTGCTTCTTCAATAGCTTTGGACATTGAGACTTCCAATGTTATTTTTGTTTACAAAAGTTACAGTTATTCATAGCAACTCGCTCATAACCTTTATTCTGGTTCTGTGTGGACAGTTGAGAAGGTACAGCCAACACTGAGGTGCTAGATGGAGGAAGAGATACTTGTACCGCAAGAGATTTCACACGTATTTCCTCAGCTACAAGTTCACTAACCACCGAATCAATTGAAGGAAGTGGAGTGCGGTGCAAAATAGAGCATCTGAGTCCCTCAAAATCACTGCGAAGTGCCATAAAAAACTGAACTAATCGCTATTCCTTTGTAAAAGTAATATATTCTTCACATGCTTTCAGTTCTGCTGATTCCGTATGAGCCAGCTCATTCCAGCTGGAGTGGTAGAACTCAAGAATACTTATATCTTTCTCATGTAAAGCCCGTATATCAATTGCTAACTGATACCATTTTGCAAAGTTAGATTTAGTGTATAACATTTGAAAATGCTCCCAAACTTCTTTTGCTGTTTCAAACTTCTCTGATTGTGTACCAATGGATTGCTCAACGGAATTGCGAATCCAAATGAGAATTTTCACGTTGTTTGACTCATAATTATCTAACTCTATTACATAATTCTGAGCAGTGTTCTCGGGTTTCACAATAGTTCTGCTAACATAGCCCATAATCTTTTTCCCTTTAAAAAATTTCTCATCATTGTACTCCAATACGAGTAATTTTTACCATTTAGTCTGACACTAATGAATTGAAGTGAATCATCTCTTTCAGTTGTCATCATAAAGTCAAAAAATGTTCAACTATGAATCAACGAAATTACCCAATTTTTAAGGAAACCAATGATAACCAACGTACTACCACAAATTATAATTGAAGTATACTGTACAGTACACCTATAACCAAAGTAATACCACCAAAAGATCAAAAATTTACCAAGGAACAAACTACCTTTTAGAATCACTCCGAAAGAACGATCCACGTGCCACTGCCACACGCCGCCTAACGCCGACACGAGCCCGATCGGAAGTTTCGTCTCAACCTGCTGAACAAGGATCTGCTCTCAGTTTCCTCAATGGGTCTCCAGTTTGGTAGGAATCTTGATTTTAAGTTGCGGTCGAATATGTTTTTCGCACAAACTTTCTTTGTCTGATTTCTATCTTGATTTCAGCAAGTCCTAAACAAAAATTTCACAGATTTTACTCAATTATAGGCTCTAATACCATGATAACAGTATAATCTATCTTAAACCAATATGTTGAATCAATCAAAAAAAGAAAAGAAAAGAGAGAATAAGAAGAATAAAAAGAGAACCAAAATCTATTGAGTCATAAGAATTAGGGTTTGCAATGAAAATAAATATGGTTTTTATACTACTACAAGGAAACCCAAAAATAATAGGAAACCTATATTATGCTAAAATAAATAAATATAACACGTTTTCACTATGTTCAATTGTGAATTGAGTCATCGTTTGGCCTCTATTTTAATTTTAATGCATTTTTTTTGTTCTTTTCAACCATACATTTTTCAATTAAATAAAATTATATTCAAATTCAAAACTTTTTTTTTAATTGCACACTATTCAAAATACTATTATTCCAAAATACATTTTTACTGAAAACTAATTTTAATGGAGCCCAAACAGGAGCTAAGTATTAAGGCAGAAGGATTAGCATGGATCACAAATAAAGGTAATGTATTAAATTCTATTAAATGGATCTTATATCCATAAAAATTTAATTAAACTAGCTATATTTAAACATGTATTGCACGTTACTTTGAATTATTTATTATTATTATTATTATTATTATTATTATTATTATTATTATATGATTGCTGTAATAATAGCTACTGGGTTAAACATAAAAATGATAGTAATATTGCATGCTACAAATGTTATCTTGAATGCGTGTTAGAAAACAAACAGTAATCTATTTAAAGTGAATATTGATCATAAGAGTGAAATACATAAATGAACATGAATGTTGATGTAGTGAAAACTTATAGAAAAGAACATAATTTCATGATAAACTGTAATTTGTTGATTTGAAATGTTAAATACAAAGGAAGAGAAAATAATTCTGAGAAACATTTTAATTTTTTTTTATTTAATTCAAAATGCAACTAATTGTTATAAGACTTATATTTAAAGTAGTAAATAAAATTTGGATAATAACTAAACTTTTAGATAAGTTAAAAGTTAAAGATAACAACAAACTGTAAATACAAAACGCATTTTAAAAGTTCTAAGGGTGTGTTCGATTGCGAGCATAAAATTTACATAGAAAGAAAATAAATTCTAAGCAATTAAACTGCTTAGAAATTATTTGCATTAAATTGTTAATTAAATGTGTGTGATTTTATTTTCAACTTAAAAAATGTTATACTTTTTCTTTTTTTATTGATAGGTAAATGAAAGAGAGAGGGGATAGATGAGAGAGGAAAAAAGAGCGGATTACCTGGAAAATAAAAGTCTATTCCCCCTAAAGAAAATATTTTCCTTATTTTTAAAGAAAATATGGTCACGTGATCAAAATTAGAAAAATATTTTTCAAGAAAAAAATATAAATTTAACGGCACAAAAATAAGAATTTGGGTGGAAAAAATGACATTTTTATGAAAAATATTGACAATCAAACGTATTCTAAATGATAAAAATTGATCTAAACAAGACTTACAACATGGACAAAGCTTATGAGTTTTGCTTGGTGATCGTTTCCTCTCAAAATAAACACAACTCTCCACAAATAGACACTACAACTTTTTTTTGGACCTCGATCTCACAGATGAACGCTTCTCATTGCTTCAAATAGTAATTATGATACATGAACGTGAATGTTAATTGATTTAGAATCAATAATTAGGAATACATACATTAAGATGAACGTTTAATGTCCAACCACGTTCATCCAAATTTTCTATACGTAAATTCAGAAATGTATGGATGATGATGAATGTTTCGTGAATATTAATTAATATAGAAATAGTAGCAGGGAATACAAAAATGTTAATTCATTTTTAATCAATGAATATAATATAATGTTCAATTAAGTGGATTCAATCTTACAAATGTTCATTAATCTAACTAAATATAAAAGAGGTAGTTTGTGGTTACTGTTCACAAGTCTTTTTTGGTTGGCTCAGTCATTTTGGATGGAGTCGGGTTAGCTGAGCTGTTTGGAAGTGAGTGGCTTTTCAAATGACATATTTTCATCCAAGAGATAAGTGTTCCTTTCTCATTTCTATTTCCAGAATATTCATTTGGTAGCCTGTTTCTTTCTAGATATGGAAACGGTTCTTAATGTCTATGGAGAATTGAGTACAAATTGTGGGAAATTTGTTCTCTTTTCCGTCTAAGCTTCAAATCTGGCAATTTGTTCTCTATTTATATCTATAGTTCATTCTTCAAATTGTGGAAACTTTTTCACTGTGGCTTACAGTTTTGGGAATGTCTGAAGATTGTAATAGATCTTGTAAATTGTGTTGCATTTGCCCTCTTATGTTGTCTTTTTCTAGATCTAAAAACTTTTCTTCTAGATATGCTTTTCACGTTGAAAATCTTTGGAGAAATGGGTACAAATTGTGGGTATTTTTGTAGTGAAACCTTTGGACTATTCATGGCAAGATGAGTGGGCAATGAAGAAATTGAATAGCAGTCGGATCCCCTTGCTTATTACAGTCTATATATATTCGTATATCAAATCATTTTTTGTTTCTTTCTAATTTTTTGTATAAATATGTGCTTAAATTGTGATTTTTGAGTTGATAATGGAAAATTATTGATTGAATTGCAGATAGATTAATATTTTCGTTGAGAATTTTTCGATGCATGTGTAATTTTCATAAATGAGCATTGACAAAATTTTAAACCAATACTATTATCCTTGCAGTTTAACAATTTTTCTGCAATTTCTCTTTGGTCTTGTATATTTTATAAATGCTTTATTTTTGAAACTCTGTACTCTGAACCTTTCGAATTCAGGTTGAAAACCTATCTATTTTGCAATTTTCATATATATACTGTGAAGCTCATTTTGGGTAAAGGTAACCCCCATTTTGCGTATAACTATAGATTGCTCATGAAGCCCTACAAGGAGAGGGAAAAGTCCTTTAAATGTAGATTTTTCATCCATTTTTGTAATATTTTTTTGCTTTATTCGATAATGATATCCTGTTGTTCATTGAACAGTCTGTAGAAAACAGCAGCAATACATGGAGAGGGGAGAGTTTTCTGCTTATTTAAACACATCTGGATTTTATTCCTGAGAGCAATTCAATGTCCCCTTTGGTAAGCCTTCGAGTCAAGCGTCTTATTCGTCCACAAGTAAATGTGTCTATTAACTGAATCTCTTTTTGTCATTCCACTGAGAGTAGTGCTTCATGTACACCGAGCTTGAGCTCGGTGTACATGCCCCTCACATGGGGGCCCAGCTCGGAATAAAGACAAATAAAAAAATGGGCGGGTCCCGCCCCTTGAGAGGGGAGTGTCAACCGGACTGTACACTTTTTAATGTACAAATGGTAAATTCCTTCCACTGAAGGTCAAGAATGTTTCAAATGCGTAAGAGATGATACTCCAGAGAAAATTGGAGCAGGTCAGTAGGAGGTGGAATTACAACATGCTATTGATCTTTAAGGCAGAAGAATGGTGAACATGCAAGTGATAGACCTAAAAAATCAGCATCACCAGAATCATTTCCTGCCAAATCTGTCAGCCAGAACTCAATTGTCTCCCGTTACTGTCACAGTTACAAATGAACCAAAACTTCATTCTTCCATCTAATGCTGCTAATCAAGAATTTGGTTAGTTTTTATCACAAAATCTTTATCCAAAGATATTCTATATGCATTATCATTGAAGTTTATCTGGTAGGAATTTCTTATGTATCCAATTTCAGTTCCCATCATTTGTGTTCTACTTTTGAAAAAAATGTCTTATTTTATGCATCTTGCATTAGGTTGGGTTGTGCATATTTATCATCAAAATGGATTAAGTTGTTCAACCTGTTAGCATGTAAATGACCAGTTTTCAAAAGCTCCATTTTAATATTTACAATATTTTCACCACAACTATTTTTTTGTCAGATATTCGACAATTGCCAAACGTCATTTCTTTATACTTCACTATTACTTATTAAAAAAAAAAAATGATAATAATTTTACTTCACTACCAACCACTAATTTAAACAAAAGAACAAATGTCCCTTGTTTGAAAAAAAAAAATATACATAATCGACCCTGACAACTCACTTTCCACAACCATTCTCTAAAAACCTTCGCTTTCAGTACTAAACAAAATTTTTTGCCTACCACTAAAGAGTTTTCAGTCTGCATCAAAAATAGAAATCCAACTTTGTCGACACTTATTCTGAATTTTCTTCATTTCTACCCGCTGCTATATCTCATCTCTCAACATATAAAACACAACAAAAAACCTCTACCCAGTTTATCTTCTCTAGCTTTATTTGTGCCATTTTAACATTAACCTGGTAATTTTCTTTCTTTTAACGAATAGCATACATTAACTACACATTCTTTAAAAAAAATAAAAAATAAAAAATAAAAAATTATCACATATATTTTTCAATAGTTATTTGAGAATTTCAATATGTATTTTGATTCTCTTTTGCATGCTTATGTTCATAATCCACAGACTCCCAACGACTCCATATGCTATTCTAGCTTTGTTTATTGTACATATAAACATATTAATATCCATGTATCCAAGTATGACATGAAACAACTTTGCTTTTTTGCTCGTATTAACGCCATCAATGAAAATACTTGTTGACAGAATTTTTTTAATCCAATATAATTTTTATTCAAAACATGTTTCATTTCCCACTAAAATCCCACAAAATCAAAAGTCAACATTATTATTTACACTGCCTTACGCACTACAAGTGCAACACACATACATTCACTAGTGATAATTAAATAGTTGAGAAATTAAGGCTACTGTTGGTTTGACGTTTTCTGGCTATTTTTCGTTTTTCATTTTCGAAAACGCGGAAAACCCATTTGTTTCGTCGTTTTCAAAAATGCATTTTCGAAAACGAGTTAAAATTTATAACTGAAAACGCAAAATGATTTTTTATTATTTTAAGCATTTTCAGTTATAAAATCTTAAAACGCGGAAAACGTCCAAAATGCGCCGTTTTCAGAGAGAACTAAAAATCATTTTGAAACCGAAAATCGAAAATGGAAAACTAAACCAATCGCAACCAAATTGATTGTAATGTTTGAATATATATGTCAAAAGGAAAGGAAAATTAAAATTGTTGAAGTAGACAAGGGATGGAATTGTCCGAAAAATAATTTTCATTTCATGATATTATCACTACAAATTTTAATTATTAAACCACATTATAATCAGACCAAATTAAAACTATTTTTATACACCAAACTATTTTTACAATTATAGCCCTGGCCTAATAAAAACTTAAAATGAAAAAAAAAAGTGAAATTACAGTATTATGATGTACATTCGATCCCAATATCCCTCATTTCTTTCTCCACACTCCTTCAATGTATTTTTTTTTAGTAAAAACGCCATCAATACCCAGGCTGTGTTTTACTGCTTCAACCTTTATCCAATGGGGGGACTTGCTATAGTGACAGGGCCAAATGACAGGCCCTCGGCCCTATTTGAATGACAAAACCCATCCAATGAGTATTGATATGAAATTTAAGTGAAAAGAGGAGGAGACACTAGGAATCTTATCTCTGGAGATTACGTCATACACAAAGAAAGTAAAGAAGTGGAGATTACGTCATATACAAATTAAAGAGTTTAAGAGCTTAAAGCGTGAAAGTACTTCTATATGATGAAATAATATCAAACTCCAACTCCAAAACATAGCAATTGAATTTGAAATTACTCCTAACTGGAAAGTGAAATTCCTTCGGTTGCTAATAGATATGCAACTTTATTACATTCTGTTGCATGAATTGAAAATTAAGTGGGTGTATTCACTATTCAGTTAGGACTTTTAAGGATTTTTGTATATTTTTTTAAGTGATGTACCTTTGTAAAATTCGTGAACTTTTTAGATTCATATGGAGTTCATATAATTTTTTTTTTTTTTTTAGATTTTTATAAGTTTTTATTTTAGAACTTTTATAGACTCTCATCGAATTCATGGCTTTTGAAAAATTTCATTTAAAGTAAAATGCTCTTGGATCTTATGCAACAGTAGAAATTGACGTGGAGGATCGATCCTTTTCCCGTTCCCTCTCCCCATGTAAAAAAACATTTTTTTTAAAAAATTAAAAATTAAATACCTGGATTAGATAAATAAATAATTAAACTATAAAAATATATAATATTTCAATATTATTTGACAAATAAAATAAAAAAATATTTAATTTTCAGTATTATCAATATGTTAATCCTTTAAGAAAAAAATCAATCATTATATTTAAAATTTAATTACAAATAGTCTTTTTTTTATGTTAAATCTTCTAGAATTTAATTTCTAATTGATCTTTTCACAAAAAATTTGAATGAAAAGAAATGTCTTATACAATTTAATATTGTTTCGTCGAAAAATGAAGGAAGAAAAAGGGAAAAGAGAACAAATATAACTAGAATTTTTTTTTTTTTAATCATGACATTAAAGTTTGTAGAATAGGATAGGAAAGAGAAATAAGGGAAGGACAAAGTATTTCTTTAAAAAAATTATTATTTGTGAAATTCGCCCAAAATTATGAGGTCAATACGAGACAAATTCTGAAATTTTATATTCGTACTTTCTACCTAAAAATTAATACTCTAGATACTTTTGTAAAAATCTAAAAATGTCATTTCAAAAACAGATTGATAGCACTAAAAAGCTCAATACACAATTTGATTTTACACTCAACACAAAACCTGTGGTACAATATGCAAGAAAATAAGCATTTCAAAATAAAAATTAGAATAAAAGCCATAAATAAGTTTAAAAAAATTAGAATATTGACTGACCTTATGTTTATAATTTGTTGAATAAATTTTTTCTTCTTCTTTGAAGTTTTTTCAGCAAAATTGTTGTTTTCATCCACTTCGCTTCACTTTATTCAATTATAATTTAGGTCTATAATCAGTGGTGTTATGTGGGTGGAGCATTTAATCGATGGATGAATCATCTTCTTCTTTGCATGGGTGAAACTTCTTCTTTGTGTTTTGGGTTTTTCTTTCCTGTAAATGATAGGCTCTTCAGGGCTATATGTATGTATGTATGTATGTATGTATGTATGTATGTATGTATACATTGTTACATCCGTTTTCTACAATTACGCGTAGTTTCCTTCTATAGTAGGACCCATTCCAGTACAAAATTGACATCCCAAAATTAAAAAATTCAGATGGCGTTCGAAATTCTCATGGTGAAAACCTTATTCAGCCATTGAAGATAACAAAGTAGGTAACAATGTCCGCTGATTTCGATGACAAATTGAACAATTTCACCCGCACTGAAACGTCACATCACATACTTCTGAATTGTTTTCGATAAATCGAATACATTGCCAGAGAAAAGAATAAATCATTGAATTTCATACTACGATGATCAACTGATTAATACAATCATATTTGCAGCAAAATAAATACAGTGCTAGTCACAAAAGTTCTGGTAATCGCTGACAAATAGAATACAGGTATCCTTCAATTTTGTCCTTCACAAGGTTAATCTAAGGCTAATCGATATGTTACCTGATCTCTGTGTGTGTGATGAATGTGCATATTTTGAGTAATATAATATGAAAGCTACATATCAGATGTGTAATGAATGATCTGTGACATATGTCTCAATCATAGTAAAATTCATATTTTTCGTGATTGACTTTTTTAAGAATGTGACCTGAAAGTAAGCACTTCATATTACCTACACTCCGTATATGGGACTAATGCCATAATGTGTGTGTGAAAATTATGTTACATGATCTGTGACCTATGTGCTGAGCATTCATCATCTTCGTAAAATGATTTCTTCAACAAATGTGACCTAAAGGTACAAGCTCCAAATGATTTCTTCAATAAATGTGACCTATGTGTTGAGTAGGCATTTTCTCTGTATATGTGATTAATGTGCATTCTTTGTGTATGAGAATTGTGATTCTTGACCCATGATCTATGTTTCAACCATTATTCATTTTGAAACTTTTTGGAAAATCTGCATGCCTATTATTTTATGAGTTCATATATGAACTGTTTGAATCGTTACATTTTCATCCCAAGACCACTAATAAAATTTAATTTAATTTGCAGAAATATGTACTTGTACATGTGCCAGTTGCATGCATCTCAAACTTCTTTAACATTGGTAGATCAAAATTCCTGATATGTAAACCTTGTGGACAGGGTTATGGAATTCAATTTGGACCTACAAGGTAACAGTATCGTTGAAGTACATACTGAATGAAGATTTACCTCCAATCAAAATCAAAATGACGGCAATGTGCTTTCTTACATCATGCTGAAGGATATGGAGCGCGAACTTGCTAAATACCTATTAATCATTTATGTTATGGAGGCATAGGTAGATAAACCA